AATCTAGTGCTTTGAAAATTTTCCATAGTGTTTACAACATTGGGCAGTGCTGTTCTCTTTATGATCATGCCAGACAACAAATGGTGGTGTGATCAGAGAATCGTAGTTGATATCATAAATAATGAACAATGAAATGCGGTTACAGCAATTATCCACAATTTACCATTGTAAAATAGGAATTTTTGTCTCAATATTTTCTGATAAAATGAGTAATATTTGATCCCATGCTCCCTTTGTGCCCCACAGACAAATGGTGCAGCCTTGGGCACTTGAGATTATATTATAGAGTCATAAAATATCCTGAGTTGGAAGGAAACCACTAGGATCATCAAAGGTCAACTCCTGGCCCTTCACAAGACAACCCCAAGAATCAAGACAACCATGTGAGTTGTCCAAACAATTCTTGAACTTTATCAGTCCTTGGTGCCAGGACAGCTTCCCATTGTTCCAGTGCACAAACACTTCTTAATATCTAGCCTAAATCTTCCCTGACACAGCTTTATGACATTCTCTTGGGTCTCAAAGAGATCAGTTCCTGTCCCTCTGCTTCCCTTTGTGAGGACATTGAAGATCACAATATGGTTTTCCCTCAGTCTGTACTTTTCCAGGCTGAACAAGCCAAGTGACCCCAGACATTCCTCATAAGGCTTCCTTTGGACAGTTTACCATCTTCATAGATCCTCCTCTGGATGCTCTCTAATAGTTTTATATTTTTTTTTATGTTGTGGTGTCCAAAACTGCACAGAGGACTCGAGGTGAGGGTGCATGGGCACGGAGTAGAGCAGGACATGCAGAGATCTGCATGTTTTTGAAAGCAGCAGGTAAATTCACACTTAGGATAAAAGAAGTTAAAACACTGTTGTACTGGTGAAAGCCATGATCATGATACACTCTTACCACATCCTGTCCCTGACCTGGGACCTTCCCTTACCTGCAGCTACACACCTTGAACACAGCTTTTGTAGCAAGCAGCAGTCCTCACTGAGGACAGTCCTCATCAGCCGAGTGGCTGATGTCTTCAGTTTGGTCAAGAATAAGTAAAAGAAAATTTCATCAAAACCAGGTAAGTTCACCATGAGATGGATATTTTTGCATGTATTGCACCTTTGCTGAAAATGTTTAATTTTTTCTGGCTGAAAATGTCAGCTTTACAGATCACATTAAATATATCTCTGTTCTCAATGGGTTTGGATGGCTTGATTGCAGATCAAGCTATCCAAAATTGCAGTTTGCATTCTGATTTCATTTTGTATATACAGCTGCATAATTTCCTGCTGTTTGTGTGATACTGTGTATTTTACTACATGGAATACAGTTTGATACATATTAGCAAAACAGCAGGATACAGGTACTAATATATTTGGCTTAATATCTGATGACAAAAAAAAAAATAAAAATCAAAGAAACAAGCAATTAATGAGACCACTCCAAACTAGCTTATTCCTGTAATCCTTTCATGTCCCACAGGGCAGTTTGAGAATACAAAAAACTGCACAAATCAGAATAGAAAATGAAGTCATTGTTTTTAATATTAGCAGCAGCACATTTATTTCATCTTCAGTTAAAATGACATCCATTTTTTTCATATAATGTTAGAGGTCTTTTTGCTTTTGTTATTATCTAAATTCATGTAAATAATTTCATTATTCAAATTAAAACAAAAAACTAAATAAAAACATTTTAGCAAATTTCCCAGAAGGGAATTATTTTGCAAAATGATTAACATATCTTAGATATCATATATTACATATCTTGACTATTTCAGTAATAAGAAAGGGAAGTGAATTAGTTTCATTTTCAGCACTAATCTCTTCTATTTGCTTTAAAAAAAAAAAAAAAAATCACAGTTTTGAAGATGTCAGGGAAGATTAACCCACCCCATTTATCACAATTACCAGAGAGGAACATTTCCTTGCTATAACTGACTCATTATTTTTTCCATGTACTGATGGCTGTTCTCAGGCCTCACTAAACCTTCCACACTGTTTTTCTTGTACTTCCAAATAGAAGGTATTATCTAAAACGATAGCCTATATTCTCCACTACAATTTTTAGAATCCTTCATTCCCATAAGATGAATTTTCATGTGCTCCAACAATACATTCTCATATAATACTAATATATCTTCTTCCCACCACAGTAATGGCATGGATTTCAAAAGAAACTACACTTTTAAAAACAGAAAACTGAATAAAACACTGCATGTTTTTCTAGGAAAGAAAAAAAATTGCTAAAATGGCAATTTCTAAAACTTGACCATAATGTGCTTATTTGTTAAATGGCATTATGTTCTTCCTTTGTTATGCTGACCAAAAAGGTCTTTTGTTTGAATGTATAAAAGAGAAAAACATCCCTTGATCTCTCAGACTTTGAGACTGCGAGGTCTTATAAAACCATCATACCCCTACTATACTAACTTCCTGGGACAGACTCTTGTTAATACACTGCTGAAAGATTGTTTTAATTTACTTTTAGACTTAAATCTGTCATCAGTGAAAAACAGAGAAGCAGGGGTAAGACTGTTTGATTCAAACGCATTTCATATCACGGGGATTTTTCTGATGCAGTGGGGAGGTGTGTGTCTACAAGAAGAATGCAAACAACTTTCAAAGCATCATCGTCTCTGGTATGCCTCTCTTTTGTAAATTATACAAGAAATCGATACTGAAAGTAAGGCTGCCAAAATTGCCTAGCACTAGCATACAAGTGACTCTAAATTAATCACAGATTTTCGATCATCCCATCACTGGAGCAGCATCAGTAGGGAATAACCAAATAGTTCGGTTTGTCATCGGTTCTGAAAAATGAAAAACTGGAAAACACACCTATCAAATGGACCTTGAATAAAAATTCTTTCTGAGGACCTGCACATTATTCTCAGCCTGACAAGCCCACCTTGGCTGAAGGATTTATAGAGTGTCTGCTTGCAGCAGAGGCAACGGAGCGTAATTACCTGGATTGAGTATTGCTCTAAAATAGCACAACGGAGGATAACATTTATGAATCACAATTAGTATGAACCCTTCCACACAGGTGGATCATGGAGCTGCTGTTCATCAGTGCCACAAAATAAAGGAACAAAATGATCCACAGAGTATTGCAGGCCCTCTCCCCAGTCTGAGAGAAATAAGAATAAATTACCAGAATTTTAGTTGAAACCTAGACTCTAAGCCACATCATTAATTGAATATCAGCATTAACCACATGTTACTGTCAATTTTTTTAAAAAAAATGTTTATGAGAAAAGGCACTATCTATTTATTTTTATTAAGATTTATTTCCCTGATGTCAACGTAACTTCTCAGATAAACGCATGGATATTGATACGTATTTGCATATATATCTGCACACAAATATGTACATATAAGCACCATTTAGCAATTAAGAAATTGCAATTCAGTCATTATAAATGGAATTAAGAAATCTTCCTTGTAGTGTTCTTTGAGATCACATGGGAGAAACTTTTCAGGTATCTTTTTCTAGTTTTCTTGCATAGGAAGCAGTGACAAAAATAGCCTGGAAGGAAATAAATATGTGCCCTTCAGCAATGGCCAGAGGAAAGACAGTCCTGGCAGCAACTCAATCTTTCATCTGCCAGAGGCGTGGTGTCTCTCTCACATAATAAATAATAAGTAATGATATTACAGCACAGATTGCATATCCTTCCTCATTTGTGAGAGTCAAAAGAGCTATCATCTGTCCCTGGCTCCACACAAATGACCTAAGGAAGAGCTTCACCTCCTCCTTTTTGTTCTCTGTAAGTAATAATTTCACACATAGAGAGGCAATGCCTGTCACAAGAAAGAGGTGATTTTCAGGAAACTGCAATAAAAAATATGGTTAGACACTGTATGACAGGGCATAGCTGACCTTTAATAAACAGATACACAAGTAGTCTAATAAACTGATTGCAAAGTTTCTGTCATTCACTTATACTAAAATATCAGTATTTAATGAGGAAAGAAAAAGAAACCAGTTGCTGTTCTTAAGTCTTGTGGTCACAACACCTAAGAGTACCAGAGAGAGCAAGTTAAAAAGGGCCTAAAGATATCAGAAGACTGCCTTGAAAAATAAATGGTGGCAATCAACTGGGGTTGAATAGTCAAGCTGATTTCCTGGGTCTCTTATTTAGCAATATAGATGTCTTTGATAGTGAAGGCTATGTCTAATAGCATTCAACAACAGTATGCAGTACTGTGAAAAAGAAAATGTATTCTTTCATTTATGTAAAGTTGGGTATTTCCCAAACAAAACAAGAAATGAACTGTATTTCACTCCAAATTTGATCAGAAAATGAGCACTACCCACGGACAAAAATGTAAAATAAAATTAAATTGTTTTTAAAGCATTGGGCCCAATTTTTTCTCTTTGTTAAACAACATTAATTTTCATTTGCATGGAGAGAGACAATTATAAAACCAAAGTAATATCAATTAAGAAATTTTAATTTTACTTTAAAATATTTTCTTTTAATTAATTTTCTTTGAAGTTGAGAAAAAGAGAGGGCCCACTGTTTTAACCCAAATAACTTGCATTATACTGTATCACCCACTATGACATAAAACACTATAAACTACACAGAAGTCTTCATTTTCCTGTTTATAGGGCCAAAGCTCTGAAGAACAAGAATCACATCTCCCAGTACAACCTGGGATGTTCTAGGACTTCTTCCAGCCATTATTTTTGGTAGCAATGTAGCTCTGAGAACCATAAAGTGCTCTCCTTGAAGACAGCAGTAGGAGCTTTAGCTCTCAGGTCTAACAGTTGCTCCTCATTATCCCCATATTGAGCTGCACTAATGAGTCACCATTTGGGCTAGCCTGAGCCATCTCCCACAGTGACTTAAGTTAATACAGCTGGTTTGCCCTGAAACAGAGTGGGAGGACTCCCACAAGCTGTTATTGGGCCTCAGCTGCGGGGGCGGTAATGATTACCTAGAGAAGCAGCAATAAACAGCTGTGAAAAGTAAATTCAAACTGTTCTAGCTAGATCTTGTTTGTTTCTGCACTAACTTAATCAGCATCATCCTAAGCACAAATGAGTTCTTAGGATTTCATTCATCCAAAGACTGGGAGGCTGGCCTGACCTTTCTTAGTTTATAGAACACAATGAGATCACAGCCTATTGCTTCAGGGGAAAAATAGCAAAAGATTAGTTTTATGATGAAGATTTAATAGATTTGACATGGCCAGAGGGCATACCTGGTTTCTAACTTTCATCTTCTAGCACTTTTTTTTTCTTTCCTTTAATAATGTGCACCTATAAAAGTAAATTCTTGCTTTTTAAAGTAAAGGAAGATATGAAGGTGCAATAGCAACAAGTTGCTAGAAGTCCACGGAGAAGATTTTGGAAAGAAACATGAATTCCTTAATTCACGCCCTAGAGAAATCCCAAACCTCAAAGTTTCAAGACGTTATTTGTTAAAAGCACAGAGAAACAATAAACCTCAGCAGGGAGGAAGGAGCAAGTTGTGAAACTTTAACAAGATCTCCAAGGAAGCTTAGACAAAAAGGTAAGAATCGATGTTGCTAAGACTTTAAAAAAATATCAGAGGTAAAGTTTCATTTTCATGAGCTACATGTGAACCCTGGATAACCTGGCTAAATTCTCGAGTTCTCAACAAAATACCTTTCTTTAATTGGTCAGGTTTAAAAATACTAGTATTTTTTAGACATTCTATTAATCAGAACTTAGAGAAGCAGAAGTAGAACATGCTGTAAATTGAAATAACTGAATTCTGTATAGCCCTGTATGTTCTTTTAGTGTTACTGCACTAGTTGATATTTTTAGTTCTCTGTGGTTCCTGCAGTGATGACCCATTGCTTTATGAAGACTGTAAGGTTTTCACATACAAAATACATGAATCCACCATGACAGGGGTATTCATGATACCCCTATAGGTTATGCATACTTGCCGAGTCAAAAGAGTAAAAATCCAGAAGGCAGAAACCTTTCATCGCTCCACTGAAAGGAATCTTTTAATTGTTTAAAAATAAATAAATAAAAATTAAATGTGTGTGTAATGTCTGAGAATAAAACCTTTCATCCTTCTCACAACTCTCCCCAAGCCAAACCTATCAGTGTCTGTTAATTTGTTATCATTAGTACAGCTAGCAGGACCATGATATGCAAATGAGGGAAACCAAAGACAATAATATCAATTCTTTGTAATAGTATTTTATATGCACTTAAGCTCTTGGAATTTGCCTGGTAATATAAAGATTAATGCATTCAGAACCAAACTTAGGAAAAAGTAAAAAATCATGTTGTAGCATTACTGTAGGATTCATTAAATATTTTGTGACTGGAGCTTGGCATAAAAAGCCTTTGTGCTTTGATGGCAAAAAACATAAAAAAGTGAAAAATCTATTTGTACTGAATATTTCACTAATTTCTAATCAAGGAAAAATATACTTCATGTTGAAAGTAACATCTAATTAAAAAAATAACTCTAAATTTCAGTTAATAAAAATGAAAGAAATTTAAATGAAAAATGATATTGGAATAAATATTGAAAACAATTCAAAACAAAAATTTTCACTTCAGGACCAGCTCTAAATTCTAAGTTAATTTAATGGTGTATTATCTCTAAAGAAGAGAACTAAGTCAAATCCATTCTGTCATGTATGCTTAAGCTGAATGATAATTAAATTAAAAAAATTAATTTTATTTTATTTTATTTGTTAAGATGTTTTTCCTGAAACTCTGTGTATAGAAAACCCAATTTACTCAGACAGGACGGTTGGTTTAGAAAACTTTTGATTACATTTCCATCCAAATTCTCATAGGTACAAGGAGGACTTCTGGATGCAGTCAAGCCTTAGAAAAGTAGAAGGTAGTCAAACTCTTTCTTTACTCAACCTCTCCAATTTTCCTTCTTGCTTTTAGGTCTGTAAGGAAGTCCTAGTAGCTTATGGAGACTTAAAAAGAACTATAACAGAAGGCAATCAGTACAGTGTGTCCTGATCTGCTCAGGTGGAAGGACAGTGGCTCTGATTTCCAAAGCCCTGCTAAGGTTTTCAGACAGTAGAAAGGATCTGCCACTCCCTGCAAAGGTGATCTTATCCTTGGGATTCAGCAATAGCTAAAGGTTAAAAACACATCTTTTCTACCTTAGTCGCCTGTGGCTGCTTACAGCACCTGAGGAAATGAAACAGGGGCCCAAAGCAGTAATGCCCACACCTTCAAATGGATTTCCTTGTGTAAGACTGGAACACAGGGAGCACAAGAAACAACACTTGGGAGACTTTTCCTCTTGCATTTGCTTTTTGAGAATTGGCTGAATCAATATTGCTTACTGTACTGTCAAAATGTGTATCCTCATGCACATCAGACACTCTCAGAATACTGGATTTCTTGATTTATATGTCATTTTAAAAACTTGAAATGATGGCATTTGAATGCAGAGAGACACAAAAGCAAGAAAATACATTACTGGAGCTGTAACAAGTTTTGTATATTTTTCTTTAAAAATCATCTTACAGGCAACCTATTTTTAGGTAACTCTTTTATCATTTTTAAGCCAGGAAAATCATGCTTCCCCTTTCAATATTAGACATATGCCTTCTAAACAGAGCAAGTATTTTTTCTTCATATACTAGATCTTAATCAACCCAATATTTTACACTGCTATTTAGAAAACACTTTGATCAGCTACTCTGTAAGGAAAGCAGAGGAATTCACTGTTTTCTTTCCCTGCATGGTCTTGTATTGATGACTGTAGAAGACCTCTATCCTTTCTCATTTCACTTCTCCCTGTGCCAGAATTTTTGTGACTCAGAGCAATTGTAGATGATGTTTCTAAGCTCAACTACCCAGTCAATATCCTAAGTGGGTGAAAGATTAATTATTCCCACTGAGATCAACTATGTCAGGATAGCAAAGGCCAATTACAGACAAAAGTTATCATGGAGTGGTCACTTCCAACCTCCTGCCAACAGCAATCCCAAATGCAAAGGATATCAGCTTCCTGCTGAACTGAATAAGCTCTGGTTTTAGTACATCCCGTGTAGCCAGCATGCTGGTCTCACTTTTATTCATTTCCACAGCTGAAGAATATGCTTTGCTGAGCTGCATGACTCATCTTGCAAAGTGTGGTGCCTAGAGCAGCGGCACTGCTGGGTGGGAGGGCAACAGGCGGCACATCAAACGCAACTCTGGTATGCGAGGCAAGCAGAGGTTGCCGAGTAATTGTGACTTCAAAAAAACCCTCTTTTGCACACTGCTTGTTGACAGCTGTTATTATGACATTTAATCTATAGCCATTATTTGGGGAAGCAGCTCAGCCAGGATCCAGCAGTCAGGTTGCTAAACTCACGTAGTGGATTACCTCGAGCTTTAGTTCTCAAAATTCAAGTTTTCTTATTTTGTTGCTTGAGAGCAGAGTAAAAATCTTGATCAATGGGTGCCAGCAAAAATGCCTCAAACTGGTAAGAAAGGAAGGAGGAGAAATAAAGTTGGGGGCATAATATGTGCCAGCAATCTTTATTAGTGCACTCATTGCTGAAGGCTGGAAAGGCATTGCGTAAGAATCCTGATTAAATGGACTAATTTTGAACAGTGTTGAATTAAACTGAGTTTAATTTTTGCTATCTCAGGTATCATCATGCAGTGCTATCTCCACATGAGTTAACTTCTCTGTTTCACTCCTACTGCCTTCACTGCTCTGATGACTGCAGGATGAGCCATCTCCAGCTATCAATATGAGCTGAATAACACCAATGTTTCCTGTAGCCTCTGTCTGGCTCAAGTCCAGTTTTGTTTTCCCATTCACAGGGAATTCCCATTTGATGATGTTACTGGATTTGGATCTGTCTTATTTATTATGTCTGTCTCTTTTTGAAGGACATCTACACTGGATAAACTTACTAAGGAAAAATTCAGTAGGCAGGGGAGTTACTTGGGACACTGATGATTCTGATTCAAAAAAATACCTGATTAGGCACATGAAGTGAAAGAGTTCCAGCAGAAAAACCTGGAAAAAATAATCCAGAATAATGAATAACCTGTTCATCATGGCACTCTCCTCTCATGCAGGAGACCGCAATCATAGACATGAAATCTAGTTTCTCTCTCACTACTTGTTTTGACCACTCCACTATGGAGCTGAGAAGGCTTTGCCAGCAAAAGCCTTTTTATAGTGGCACAAACCAATAAAGAGTTTCTGTTTAGATTAATTGGATTTTCCAGCTAAAATAAACAAACAAAACTTTGTCATGAAGCTCCTTCTAGTATGCACAAAACAATTCCTGGACCAATTCCATCTCTAGCATTAAGACCAGATACAAATTAATGTATTAGAGTTTACTGCATTGATTTGAGCATTAATTCACAAATTTCTGTAGCAGGTTTGAAAGGTACATTGCCCAGTCATAATGTAACATTACCCAATAACTGTGTCACTGCAAGTATCTATCTTGGCAGTAATTGTCCCAATCCTTGATGACATTGAGAATAATCTGTTTTCCTATTCTGAGTCCTGAGAAGAGAGAGAAAATCACCTAAAATTCCTTTTCGAACCTGACCAGTTCTGTTTCACATCCAGACTTGTAACGTGAAACCTGCTTGATTAAGGATTCTTCAGCAGTGTGAGACCATTCACGGAATAACAATTAGCTGAAGAAAACTCAGTTTCTCTACAGATTAACCTTAAAATACCATACTAAAAGGAAGTTTCAAGATGCAAATGCTGTATGCAATGGCTGATCTCAAAAACAACCCCCAGTCACAAGATCTTGCACAGCTACAGGATCTCTCTTTTGTAACTAATATGGGGTTTGTTCAACATGAAATCTGTGACCTTACAACCTTGACTTTCTCAAAGAGTGCCCAAGTGAGATTTTTAATTTATGTCTAATGTAATGTAAGATGACTGCAGTGTAAATGAGCAATAGTCAATTCTTTATGCTTATCACAAAGTACAATAATTTGCCCAAGATTCACATAAGAAGATTTACACTTGAGCTCAGTGGAAGAGCTTGTAAACAAGGAATCCATTGATTCACAAATATTTGCAAGTATCAGTGTGATGGGACCAGGTAAACAAATGAAAAGCAAACAGAATTCTGTCCTTTGGCAACTGGAATGCTAGACTGTAAGAAGCAGGTATGTGTGGTTTAGGGAACAACCATTTCATTGAAACGAATTACTAGAAATAATGCCTCTATTTTACAATATTGCTGTGGTGAATTTCTATCCGCTGTATAATGGAAACCCAAGCCTCATGTCAATTCAGAGAATAATTAGACAAGCTCCCTATTGATAGGCACAGCAGTGACTCCAACACAAGTCAGGAAACAGAATTATTGTTATTCCTCCCCAAGAACAAATGCCAAGCCTGATGCTATCAGTATGCCATAGCATGTGGCATGTATAACTTAACTTTGAACATCACAATTTTATTCACTGCATAAGGCTCTACAGAGTCACATCATGTAGTAAAATTCAATTTCAAGAAGTGCAAATATTTTAAACTTATGTAAATGACACTTGATTTGATGTGAAATGGGAAAAATGGCACGAGGCCTGTAAATAAGGTGAGTATTTCTGGGGTATATTTTAGAAGGAACTGGGGAAAACAAATTGGCAACAAAATGACAAATATTTGGATGTGTAATTCAAGCCAAACAATGGTTTGATCCAGCAAGCACTTCAGCCAATACAGAATTTGTATGTGTGAGCTGCTGAGCTGAATTCAATTAAATGCATTTTGGGTGTTAGAGATTACACACATTGAAGTCTGAAGGACAGATGTCACCATTTGCAATATAATACTGCTATTTTAGGGTAGCTTTTAAAATCCATCACAATTTGCAATGCTTAATATTTTATCCAATTAATGAAACAATATGGATAGATTCTAATGGAAGTCCATTTCTCTTAATATACTTATATTTGCCTTGGTTTATCTTACTGGCAAAAAGCAATGTGGCTATTTTTAATGCCACAAAATATTTAAATGAATTTTAAAGATGGTAATACTGGTCTAGATGCTAAAGTGATGCAGAATAACAGAGTTCTGAATTTTCCAACTCCCAGCTGAAAATAATGTCATATTTCATAAATAGGTGAGCATTCATAAATTACTGACACATAATACATGAATTACACAATACTACTAAAATGTATTATTTGAAAGATTATTTTTTCAGCTCGTTGAACAGAGACAATAGTGTTATATCTGAGGGTTTTTTACATTATTTATGCCTCTAAAATGTTGTGGAACACATGGTATGAAGTCAACACCAAGATACTAACCTTTAACAAAACCAAAACCAAACCAACAAAAAGCAAAGAACCGTAATTTTAGCTCTGAGTAGCTATACATTAATACAGCTAGCATGCATTTATACTGAAATGTGTGAAAAGATACTGCCCTACACCACTCATGCATAATACAATTGTTTCAAATAAATAACAGAAGTATTAAAATGTTGAGGTTTGTTTACCATCTCTAACACTAATAAAGTGTCCAATAAAATTTCTGACACCTTTGAAAAGTTTTTAATATTTGTAACGAAAAGCAAATTATGCATTATGATTCTGTCAAAATTGTGAGTATTTACAAGTACAGAAATACAGTCCTGCTATTAAAGAAGCTATAAGCTGAGGCTATGTTAAGCTAAAGCTATGAAAAACATACTGTTTTTTTTTCCTTTGCTTTGTTATAATTCAGAGTGTTAATCATTCACTGCAGGAGGTTGTTTAGTGGTGTGATGGTTTGTTTCGATCAAAACTGTCACAGAAAGAGGTGATCTCTTCCAAGCTAAGAGAGCTAATTAATTATACATTCAATTCACTAATGGACACAGAGTAGACAGCTTTTCCAGCTGTCAGAAAGAAGAATACAGAAACAGGAATAAGCTATTACTGATTTTTACTTTTTTCCCCAAAATCTGTTTCTATATGTTTACTGGAGTAATAAATCTTGTAGTGAGCCAGAGATTCAATTATTTCATTCATTTCTCAGAAACCAGAAAATCTGGAATTACTGTTTACTTTAAGGATAAACCTTTTTCTCTATGCCCTGACTTCTGTCTCTTTAATTTTTGACCCTGGGCATTCTCAATTTTTTAAATTTATTTCTCCTTGGACTTCACCATGAATCTCTACTTATAGATTTCACCTTATTGTCCACAAATCTTACATGTGTCCATAAAACAGAAGGAGGCAGATTGATACCTTAATGACATGGCACTTCAAGTTGTTGAGATTTAAGGCAGTGATGCCCAGGAAAATAGAAGGACAGGGTGCTTCACTGGAGTGAACCATGGGTGATGCATGTTTACATGCTTCCTTTATCATTACTGATTTTACAGAGGGAATTTAATACTGCTTGCAACTGGAGACAATATCAAGGAGAGCAGAAAGATCAAGTGCATTCCTAAGCAAATCTCAGGCTTGGGTGGAGAGGGATTTTATCAGCTGGGGTTTCAAACACAACAGGCCTAGGGTGTATTTGGGGAAGAGCTAAAAGCTACATTTAATCCCAGCAGACTCTTAGTGTTAAGAGGTTCTTAAAACAGTCACAAAATATTCTGTCATGTCAAAAATAATTGACATTATTTTTTTTTAATTTATTTTTTAATAATATTATATAAACTGACACAATGATGAGGACTATTATATATATTTAAGATCCATTGCATAAAATGTTTGTAAGCAATAGAAACAAGAATTCGAAATGCCAAAATAATTAAAAAAATAAATAAAGGACATTGATGTTCAGTTTCAGACTCACTGACTATTAGTTCAAGCAGAACAACAATTAAAACATTTCTTCTACACTACAATTTCAATCCTCCCTCTGATAGTTTCCTTATAACTCTTGCAGGTTTCTATTAGCTTTTTTTCTTCTCTGCAAATAGTAGTATCTCCCTTCTCTGCATTTTTGGAAGTAGTCTGGACTTGCTTGCAAATAGCCTCTCTGGGGACCTGTGGGGTATATCATATAAAGTAACTAAAAACTTTTTCATCAGTCTACCTCTGTCTCCAGTTGACAAAGGGGCTTCTCTTACATTACTCAATGAGAATTCCCTTCTATTTTCAGCAGTGGGATTATAATGGCATAATTATAATTTTATAATTTATATAATTATTATATAATTTATAACTATGGATTTTATGGACTTTTCACCTGTCAACGCAGCAAGACCTCTTGCAGGAATTGGTGGCTTGGTGTTTTGGAGTACAGGAAGAATATTCTTCTAGGTGTCTTCTCCCTTCTTTCTCAGTTTGAGCAAGCATTCTTCTGTTGGCATAATTTTTTGTCTTGAATCCAATACCTAGGGGCTGTCATTATGCTGGGTTTGTGTCAATTTTACATTGACCTAATTATAATGCTAAACTCAAGATTATTTTTTGTTCAGTAGTTTTATCTTGCATTTGGTTGGATTATTTCCCAGTCTTTCAGAGAGACTACAGAGGAAATGGTGTCTAACTTTATTCAAATGAAGCTGTAAAGAAATTCACAGCAGAGCACTAAAGGAGACCATATTTTTGAAAAATTATTATTTTAGTTGTCCAAATTAACAGAAATCTCCAACTTACCTATTTGCATGAAGTAATTTATAAAGTCAGATAGCAATTACAATATGAAACCAAAACTAAATTTTTATCTATCACCAAATAGCTATGAAATGTGTTACTTTCAATTGCTATAAAATAAAGGATCTAACAAGTGAACAAAGGATGAGGGACTGTACCAGTCATCAGGCTTTATAATCTAACAGTA